AGGTATGCAAGGGAAATACAAGCATAGGACAATGGCCGGCCAAGCAGACACTTCATGACAGCTGGGGCTATTACTCTAGGACCTGGGGCCAAACTTGAGGGAACTGGATTAAGTCCTAGGGTACCTCATTTGTCCTAGGCTAGAGAATTAAGTGACCTTGTTATTTAACCACAAACCACATTCATAAGCACCAGTGAAAATGGAACCAGAGAAAGAGCAAGGAAAAGTCAAATCAATGCCCAGGAGTCCAGTCAATCAGATCCATGGTTCCTCTTCAGGGAGTGAAGAAGAGATGTTGAAAGTAGCCGCTGCTGCCTTCATCAGGAAGACCAGGAAAGAATCATCTTGAAGGCTTGATATCTTTAATAGGAAAAAATTTGTCACTTTTTTTTTTTAAGAGAGGGAGAGAGGTGGGGGAGGGCAGAGAGAGAGAGAGGGAGAGAGAGAATCACAAGCCATCTCTATGCCTAGTGTGGAGCCAGACATGGGGCTCGATCTCACAACCCTGAGATCATGACCAGATCCAAAATCAAGAGTTGGATGCTTAACCAACTAAGCCACCCAGGTGCCCCTGTCACTCTTTATAGCAAAGCCCTCGCCCCTTTTTGTCCCTCTCTGCTCCCTCCCTCAATCTAAATCTAAAGTTGGGCTTCAAATCTATTATCTAACCCAAGCCCTCTCACCTTTTAGAGTAATTCACTACCTCAATTTCTTCCAGACCCTCCCTTCATTTCAGAGAGTGTTTTCTTTAAGAAACCTCCCCAGATCTACCAGGAAAGTATCTGTTTTCTCCTTCTTCCCACATTTACACATTCCTTCAGGATCTGCATATGGGTAGCCATGGGTAGCCACGTTCACTACTGGCCCCTCTCACTTTCTGTTTCATACAGTAACTCCCTCACTGTGTACGTGGGGAGGAACAGCAGTTTTACTGTTTTCTGCAATCCTCTCTGTATTGCTCATGTATTAGTCATTTGTCACAATGCTTATTTTTCACCCCTGGACATATCCACTGCAAGCCCTGCTTATGTTGTCTTCATTCTAGGATCCAGAATGAAGGCGCACCCCCTAGTAGAGTCTTGTGGCAAAGGCAAAGGAATCGTGCAGTGGTTCTTGAAACTTCTGCTTGGATGTAGCACATAGCATGTTTCAAGTGCTCATGTTCCATTGGACAAAAAGTCCTATGGCCAATTCCTGTGTGAATGGGTTGGGAAACTATAATCCTTTTACTGGGACAGAAGAATAAATAATTGGGAACAGTGAGACTGCCTATTTCAGTTCTTGACTAGGGTTGAGTGTCAGGTGCTTTTGAATGACAACCTTCTGGTAAACCCAGTAATTGGCACCAACACAACACTGGTTATTTTTCATTGGAAACTTTGTTTAAAGCTCACCTTTTATAACTAAAGATATGTATTTTATTATGAGATTCTCTCAAATATATGATATGTTCCCCGATCCTCTTAAACAAATGCTCCTACACATAATGCAACTTTTTCTCAAAGATTTGGGGTTGTAATTATGACGGTCAACTTGGACTTTGTTACAATGTAATGATACTCCTTGAGACTTGTAACAAGTAGAGGGCTATGCACCTCTGCTTAAAGAGTGCCAGGCCACTCTGCTTTTGGAGCTCAAGGCTCCCTCTTAGTCTCTTCCCATGACACTAGGCTCTCGGCTGTCATATCTTGATAAAGGGAGAAACCTCCCTCTACCCCTTGTTACTCAGTAACATCAGCATCACCAGGGAACTTACTAGGAATTCAGAATCAGGGCCCTCTCAATCAGACTCTGCTTCTTAGTAACCTCCCCAGGTGCTCCGTATGCACACTGACATTGGGGAAGCAACTCAGGGGTTCTCGGTCTCGGCTGCATATCGGTATCTCCTGGGGAGCATTACAGACACTGATGTCAGGCCCCGGCCACAGTGCTTGGATGTAATAGGTCTGGGGTGTGGTGAGGGCCCTGGAGGGTCAGGAACTCCCCAGATTCTAAGGTGCAGCCAGGGCTGAGAACCACTGTTGTCTGGAAGACTTTCTCCTGGTTGCCTGAACCTACTGGTTCAGTGGTCAGAGAATCAAATGTGTTCACCTTCATGCAACTGCATTACTGACCACTATTAGCACCAACAAGGGCTGGAGGAGCCTGACCTTACAGAAATAGTAATAGCCCAATTATTAAGGACCCTGTAGGGGCCAGGAACATTATCTCTAATCCTTACAACATACTGTCACCCTGATTTAAATGTAAGAAACTGAGCCTCAAAAAATGTGAGCAACTTTCCAAAATCACACAAATGGTAGACGTTGGATTTGAGTTAATCTGTTTTCAAAGCCAGAAACTTTTTATCCCAAATCCAGGGAACTTTTGCTCCCAATCTGTATGTGCTATTATGGGGTGGACCTCGGAACATCTGCTTTGGCTGCTCAGAGGACCTTGTCACTGCCTTCCAAAGTCTGGGTGGGTGTCTGGTTGGACAAGTTTACCAGGTGAGAGATCACCTCAGATAAGTGACTGTATATGACTTCTAAAGTTTCCTTAAAGTGTGCCATTTCACAGAGGGGTAAACTGATCACCATGAGGACAGTGACATGTTTCTAACAAAGAACTTAGTAGAAACTCATCAGTGCAGAGGAAGCCCAGGAGAGGGAGGAACCATGCCTGGATGGAGCATGCTTCTCCACTGTCAACTTCTTAATAGTACTGGGGAGCCAAGTATGCTGGGGACGTTATCTCATGGGATTTTCACCACAATCTTATTGAGTGTGATATTAATTTTGCCCATTTTATACATGTGGAAATGGAGGCTGAAGGTAAATTTACCCACTATTAGACAGCCAATAGAGAGCAGAGCTGGCATGGAAATCCAGATTCAGAGCCTGTGCTAGTTCATCTACATTTCATGACTTCTTAATTTCTTAAGTGTAGCATTCTGCCAGCTGTGTCCCATCTGGGTCACTACCTGCTGTGAGCCAGGTTTGGGACAAATTGCTCAACAACACTTGACGTGGATAAGGGATAGTTTTTTGTAGGAAAGGGAAGAGCTTCAGGTACACAGCAGAAGAGAATGAACAGGCTTCTGTCAGTCATCAACCCACCAGAGATGCGTTGGTGCCAGGGCCCCTCACTTCCCTGCTGTTCCTGCCTTTTGACTGATCAAGGGTGAGAAGTGACCTTGTTAATTGGAAAGCAGAAAGACAGTGCCGTGCCAGGCAGCTTGGGGTTGGATCATGGCTGTTTCAGATGTTCTGTTTGAATCCAGCTGCTCAGGACTGGAAAACCCGGGGTTCCCAGGATATCACCGGCCCCCTTCTGAGGCAGAGAAGCCCCTAGCGCTATGGGAAGCTGAGCTTAGGGTCAGGCCCACACCTGGGGAGAAGCAACACCCACCCCAGCATAGTTAGCTCATTGTCTGGGTTACCCAGAAGGAGCTTCCAGCGCCAATTTTGGAGAGGACACCTGTGAAAATCCCTACAACCTGGGTCATGAATAATGATGTGGGCAGGCAGCACTGGATCCGTCCTACAATCAGTGGAGCTAACTGGAAAGCAGGGGAGGCAGAGGACACGGCTCTGAAGCATAGAGAGTGTTCTGCCCCCTTCTCATTTGGAGCCTCCTATGGTTCAGCCATCTATCTGGACGGCTGGTGGTGGTGGCAAGTCAGGCAAAAAGCAAGCTGAACTTACATTAGAGAGCTTGAGGGGGGATGTCACATTTGCTGGGGGTAGAAGGGGAGGGTTAAAACTGGTAAAATCTTTAAACATTACTATCTCGTATTTTTGCTCCCTCTAAATTTCAGTGCCAGTGACAAACCATGAGAGACTCTTGACTCCAGGAAACAAACTGAGGGTTACAGAAGGGAGGTGGGTGGGGGGATAGGGTAACCGGGTGATGGACATTACGAAGGGCACATGGTGTATTGAGCACTGGGTGTTATACATAACTAATGAATCATTGAACACTACATCAAAAACTAATCATGTGCTATATGTTGGCTAATTGAATTTAAATTTTAAAAATTCTGTTTTTTTTTTTAAGAAAAATAAAGTAAAAAGAATAGGTATGCTCCTCTGTGGGGTGCAAGTGTATCTCAAATAATTCTGACTCCAATTCTTGTCCTCTAAGCCACACTGCCACAGACTTTATCTTTCTAAAACACATCTATTTGCATCACTCCTTTGCTTACAATCTATGACTCCATCCCCATTCCCTGCAAGATAAAGTCTAAATCCCTTAATATGATGCATGATGCTTTTTCATATGCTGAGTCCTAGACCAGGTTCTCATGTCAGTCTCCAGGACGTGTCCTCTTTCACTGCGCCAGGCTGGCCCTGAGCTCCCAGAGCAGTCATTCAACCTCTGTTCTTTTCTGCATCATGATTTTTTATTTAAATGTGTTACCTCTATTGGTCATAAGCTTTTGAGTGTATGGACTGTGCTAGATACATAGGTGGTATTTGATTAAGCTTCAGTGATTGGTGGAGTCTATATCACACCCCAAGTTCCAAAGACACGAGGAATTTTTTCCTTTTTTGCTTTGTTTTCTGAGATCATCAGTGCGTGCTGAGGCAGTCCCTAATGCTCACTTGCTACTTTCCCTCTTCTTATCTCCCTACCCTTTTCTTCAGCTACTAAACACTCCTCTCACCTCTCACCATGCCTCTCTTGCTTTCCGAATGCCAGACAACATTTTTCTTCCTAGAGAGAATGTCAGGAAGACAAAGCGGGGCCCATCCCCGGGGAAGAGGTGGTTCCGCCTCATCCATCTGCTCATTTTCAGCCAAACCTAAATATAAACCATGCTGTTGAGGAGGAGGCTGGAAATCACTCGTGTGGAGTCGTAGCCAGAGATAACGCCGTAGAGCGGGGAGTAAGAGACACAGGGGTCAAGCCCAGAGGTCCCAAGGCTAGGCCTGAGTATGAAGGTTGCTCCTGATGTTGAGCATCTAGGAGGAGAAGAGAAGGCCTCTATGAGGTCACTGAGTGACACACCTGGCAATGGGTGGGGGAGCTGGTTGCCATGAGGGAACATACCGTGAACCTGTTCCAGCCCAGGCACAGAATATGTAGTCCAGGGACAAGAAGGAGGTATTTCTGGGTTGGGTTGGGTTGGGTTGATGAATGGTGGGGAGCTGGCTGCAACTGTTCATGATGTAAGAACTCCATTTTTAGCACGTGTGACTCTTTGGGTTGCTTGAGACAAAACAAAACAAGACTCAAGCCCCATAATCTTGTAGAATCCTAGGAAGGACGTGAAGGGCATGGTACTGGCCATACAAGGGAGCTGGAATATGGGAGTTTCCCATCTGGCTTCAGAAAGGACCCTCTGTGAACGAGGCTCACAGAAAAGTAAATTTCTCTGAGTTCAGCTGCCGTCAGATCCAGCCTCCATGTTGTGTGACAGGGAATGGGGAATCTTATCAGGAAAGATGGGTATGTGTCAGCCTGCTACTGAGACCCTCCTTCTGTTCTCAGGGATGTTCAGTAGGCATGTCCCCTAGTGAGATCATGGCCGTCTTCAAAGAAGCATAGTAGAACCTGGGCTTGGGGTGCCTGGGTAGTCAAATTTGTTAAGCTTCCAACTCTTGATCTCAGCTTGGGTCTTGATCTCAGGGTCGTGAGTTCAAGCCCCATGTATAAGTTCGGCTCTATACTGGCCATGGAACCTACTTAAACAACAAAAACAACTAAAGAAGAAGAATCTGGGCTTTACCAGATACCCTGGCTTGTGGGTTCTTCTCGAATATCTAGTGCTATTGGGTTAGCTCATTAATACCTAGCATTCATAGACTTGGAATATCAACTAGGGAAAGACCAATGTTCTATCACAAGTGGTATGCAGCTTATCACTAGTAATTAAGAGATAAGGGAATTCAAGGCATCAAAGGACAATAAACTTGCTTAATTCTCAGACCTCAAAAGCTTAAGTGGGGAGTCCAGAATCCGCCACTCTCCACTCAGTTCTGAATGAGGCTATCTTAAGCATAATCAGTATACATTTTCTAAGTGGATAGCTTTAAAAAATCCACTCCATTCTGGACCCTAGAATCCCAACTTAACCTCCCTCAGTGTCCTTGAGCCCCAAAGCCTCCAGGGCACAGTCAGGTTTCAGTCCAATTCACCCCAGGTAGTGTTAGCTTGCAAAGCAGCCAGACAGAGACCTTCATGGGCTTTTCCCAAGCCCTTTCCTCTTGCCGGAAGTTGTTCTTACTGATACCCAGCTCTGTTCAGGAGCTTGGTACTGCCCTATTTCCATGGATGCCCTAGGCTTCCTTACAGAGTTTTCTCCAGAGGTTCTGTTTTGGTTATCTATTATTGTATAACAAATCATCCCCAAACATAGTGGCTCAAAACAACTATTTTTTATTGACATAGTTCTGCGGATCAGTAACTCAGGTTGGGTTGGGTGGGCAGTTCTTTTGTGGGAATTGTCTGGGCTTACACATGTCACTGCAGTCATTTGGCAACTCTATGAGGACTCGTGAGGGTAAATTCCCCTTATTCACACGTCTTGAGATTCAGTGCTAGTTATTGGCCTGGCCTTGCCTCTGTATGGTCACTTGCCACTTAGTACCCCAGCCTGGGATTTCTTAAATGGTGGCAAAAGCATTCCAACAAGGGGAAGCTGGAAGCTACAAGACCTATTGGGGCTGAGCCTTTGGAATTAACACATCATTTCTGACACATTCTGAGGTCAAAGCAAGTTACAAGACCAGCCCAGATTTCAGAGATGGGAAAATACACTCCAGCTCTTACAGAGAAGGGCTACAAAATACCATGCCCTTGCTGTCCAAATTCCCATAGCTCCCCACTGTAATTAGCATGAAGTTCAAATTTCCTCTTGTTTATGGCCCTGCATAACGTAGGCCCTGCCTCTATTTCTAAATTGATCTACAACCCACCTCTCCTTGACTTGCTACGAACAGTTCTCCCTTTAGGGCTTTCATATGTGCTGTTTCCTCTGCCTGGGATGCTCTTGTCTCAGATCTTTGTGAGACTGAATTCTCTTTTAAGTCTAAATGTCAGCTCCTCAAGGAGGCCTTCCCTGAGTACGTCTCCCAGTTCCTTCCTACCACATTACTCTGTCTTATCCTCATGAGGCCCTTAGCATTATCAGAAACCAGCCATTCATTCCTGATCTTCTCACTAAAATTTAAACACCATGAGAGCATAGCCATTGATTCTCCGGTTCACTTTTGTATCCCCAGTGCCTAGAACAGTGCCTGTTGGCGTGTAGGTGCTTAATGTTTGTTGAAGAAATTAACCATGTGGTAAAAATCTGTATCAGCTTAGAAGGTAGGACAAAAGAGGGGAAAAGAAGAATCTCCATTCTCAAAGTTGAGATTAAAAAAAAAAGTGGGTTCTTTTCCTGTAATTAGCATACATTGCCACCGAGTGGCAGTAGATGTCTTAAGCATCTGGGACAATTTACTAGCCAATGTTTTTCTTTAGATTCAAATGATGTTTGCCCAGGTCCAAACTAACAGATTAATAGTAATTTATTTTCTACTTTTTATTTATTAATTATCTAGTAGACTTTTTAATTTCATTTTAAAGATTGACTTTTTTATTATTTGAGAGAGAAAGCGCGAGAGAGCATGGGGGAGGGGCAGGGAGAGGGAGAGAGAGAATCCCAAGCAAACTCCCTACCCAGCACAGAGCCCAACGGGGCTCAAGCCCATAACCCTGAAATGACCACCTGAGCTAAAATCAATCGGATGCTTAACCGACTGGGCCACACAAGAACCCCTTAATAAACTTTTTAAAATTGCTGACTTAAAACAATAGACAATAAAGCTGTTTATCCTTAGAGAACAAACATTTTTCTTAGAGAAGCACCTTTTTTTCTCTATTTCATTAGTTACCAATTATCACTAAATAGAACTCTTCTCCCATAGCCACGTTCTGATTATTATGTTCCTTTTACTTTATTACAAATTCTACCTTACAGTCACTGTGCCTCAGGGCCGACATGTGGAGCTGGACCTTCAGGCTAGATTTATATTGCAAAGTTTTATGGCTTCTCTCAGCGACTAGCTCTATCCTCATTTAAAGCCTGCTGATGGCTTCGTTCCCCATGTGTTTCAACTCCCTTTTTCTCAACCCTAACTCTTTTATTTCTCTTCCCTGTATCAGAATTAGGAAGCGAGAGAAATACACCTGTTCCTTTATCTTAAACACATGATTCTGCCCCAGGTTCTTCCTAATACAAGGAAAGTAATTTCTACTTGTCCTTAAATAAGAGTCAAATATCTCCCTCTATTCAGTTTTCTCATTGGGAGTTCTTTGAACTAGTGATTATGTACAATAGGGCTTATCTTAGCAAAGCCATTGCAATGGTTCCACAAGAGGCAGTTTATACGAAGTGTTTTTGTGATAAGAGTTCTCTGAAACTCTTTTTCTATAGAAAGAGATAGCGCTCTTAAACAGAAAAATGAAGCAACATTTAGACAAAGCTCCTGATTGGACATTTAAGCTCCTCAGAAGAGCGGCAGTCCCAAAGGGCGGACGGACCTCATGAGTCAGCAGCTGGGCTCGGCTATGAGTCACCTTAACATCTCTGGGACCACGTCCTCTCCTCAGCTCACACTCCTTCACCAGGCATGCTAGGGGTACAGTAAATGCTTCCTGAGCTCTGTACAGGAATGACCCAGACCCGGGCATTCCGCAGCACAGCTGCCTAATCCAACCTTAAGGGTGACTTTTTTCTTCTTTCTGCGGCCGTGGCCCACTCAGACTTTTGCATATTGCTAACAAAATCTGATCACCCTGAAGCTAAATGTGTTTTAGAATATATATGCAATCAACAGTCATTAAGACAATATTTGTGTGCAACAAATGTTCATTGAATGAATGAAGGAAAATGACCAGGGTTCATAGTGTTAATTTATATTAGTGTCTTCTGATATTTTCGTATTGCATGCCTCATTAATTAAAAAGTAAACAATCCTCAAAATGTATATTATAATAAGTTATTCAAATGTACTATTGTACCAATGTTTTCTGTACATAAAAATATATACAAAATATAAACTAAAAAGGGTAAGATAAAAAAGTAATGCTTTTGGGGCACCTGGGTGGCTCAGTGGGTTAAAGCCTCTGCCTTCGGCTCAGGTCATGATCCCAGGGTCCTGGGATCGAGCCCCGCATCAGACTCTCTGCTCAGCAGGGAGCCTGCTTCCTCCTCTCTCTCTGCCTGCCTCTCTGCCTACTTGTAATCTCTGTCTGTCAAATAAAATAAATAAAATCTTAAAAAAAAAGTAATGCTTTTAAGTAATCATCTTATTACTGGTAAATTTTTATTCTCACTAAAGTCTTTTACGTATCGTTAATATTTTTTATGAGAACAACACAGTTGAATATGTTGCTTTATGTTTTAAAATCTTGGTTTAGGGCTTTGTGATAAAATCATTCAATGGTCTAGTTCTGAGTTTGGTTGGTTTTCTCACTTGGTTTTAATTGCTGTCCGAGTGAAAAAAGATACTTTGTAGCTTCAAATGGAAGGCTTGCACCATCAGCCTCTCCTATCAAATCGTGGTACTCATTACTCAGTAAAGCTCACCAATTATGCAAATGTTTTGGTGGAAATTTTGTGGAAAGGAAATTCACCTTTCTATGTTCTCTGATCTCAACCTGATTTTCTTACAAAGAATCGGAAAGGGCACTGATGGAATATAGCTATGTTTTCATATTTTTATAAAATATGTTGATGATTGACTGTGTGATTGATTTTTTTAAAGCTAGAAAATCTGGTTTCTTAGTGTGAAGAGATGAAAGATTTCATAGGTGGTGCCTATGTCGTGTTCAACAAACATCACATAATGATGAAAACTATGCTTTCTCCACAGAACCAGCTGCTTCTGAAGCGCAGTTTCTATTTTTTTTTTTTTTTTTAGGATTTTTAAAAAACTTATTTGAGACAAAGAGCCAGCACAAGTGGGGTGGTGGGGGGGTTGTTGGCAGAGGGAGAGGGAGAAGCACACTCCCCTCTGAGCAGGGAGTGGACTCTGGGCTCGATCCCAGGACCCTGAGATCATGACTCGAGCTGAAGGTAGACATTTAACCAACTGAGCCACCAGTCTCCCCTA